ACAAACCCCTCTATGAAGTCAGATAGTTACGACTTTGCGAGCCCAAGATGTAGCCCTGATTGTCTCCAGTTTGGTCTGGACCACACTAAGACATTGCGGTTGCATAAGTAATCGATCGCTATTTACTGAGCTCTCATGTTATAAGGCTATCCAAGGAAAGTACTCCTGTAGTCAAAACGCTTCTTTGGATTGCTTTCAGGGTACTCCTCCTAGACAAATCGTCCGACATACGATTTCGTGCCTGATACATATAGTATATGTGAGGTCAGCTACTCCCAATACATCCTAAAACCATTTTGAATTTCGCAAGCATTTTGAAAGATCCCTGATTTCCACGCATCTAAGGTCCTCCAAGTTATCGAAGAATTATCTATGCAGAGCGGAGAGTCTGGTATCACTTATCATATGCACTGTCGATTGCCATCAGTTCCACCTGAAAAACGCGACAGTGGTCCGGAAGAAGAACGCTAAGGGAGATTTCCAGGTGTTTGGAGTATACACCTCCACCAACTGTACCCTCGAGGCTTGAGCCGTCTGTGTATACATGATGAATTGACTCGCCACTCCTTACAGCTTCTTGTTTCTAAGCTTCCCTTAAGGGTAGGAGTATCGTAAATACGGTAGTGGGAGTGGCGTTCGGAAGTGCGTAGTCCCCAATCTGAGAAGCCCCGAGTACTCCGTTAGTACCCTACTATGACCATTACTATTATTTGACCACTTCCGTCAAGCTTCGGTACATTCATATAAAAGTACACTGGCCTTACGTGCGGAGGCTGCCCTCACCGAGTTATTCCTTGAGGACTGCGAGCTGCTTGAAGCTAGACTGTAGAATCATTAGCAATGATATATCTTTTAAGGGGCCAATTCAAGGATCTCGATAATATTAGAGTGGCATAAGCGGAGCTAGCTAAGCATATAGTATGACCGTTGCGCGAGCTTCAGCGACCGCCAGGCTATACTTGGCATGGCATGACGTGCGGTACTTGGGTGCTACAGGCCCAACTTTCCCCAATCATTATGGCCCGTTGCACTCACTATAAAATCGTTATTGACGTACTATTCTCCGGCCTATTGCACTAGAGGAAAACTCTAAGGAACAGGATGAAGCAGGTAGGAACATGAAAGATAGTTTGGTCCAATGGAGCCACGAAATAAGTTTAAAGGAGAGGACCCATTTTTTATCAGTTATTTTCCTGAGACAGCATAAAGCCACTAATGCCCTTTTTAATCTTTGCTCAATGTTAGGCTTCCGCGAGCGTTTACTATTTACAAGAACTTACATATGTATTTTCCAATTGAGGGAAAGTGCGAGATTATTGTGTACAGATCACTTACCATGACTGCGAACATGCTCTAAAGCAGTTCATTTACGACTGCAGTCCAAAGGAGAGCGGGATGAGAGGCACAAAACTTAGCGCTCGTCCATATTAACACTTCGCTCAATAAAATAAATACACCACTCTGCCAATGATTATGCGGCAGATAAACCTGATTAGGTCGGTTTCGACTCCAAGTCTAAGGGTCGGTTACTCTATGTCTCGTTAACATTAACTGCAGGTTAAACATCGTTATCGACTTCATAACATATAACGGGGAGGCGATAAGGTCGATGCCGCTGTTTAACCTATAGTTAGTGTTAGCCAGATCTATCGATTATCCCTGACAAGACGTTTTCAATACTGTTAAAAAGTAAAAAATAAAATAGTTCAAAAGTGGTCAGAAAAAATACATATCCACAATTTTATTTTCAGCTCAATTGCGTGAAATCTACAATGTCACCTTGTCAAAGATCATTTGTCGGAACTCTGACGCGGTACAACAGGTGCGACTATATGTAATGGAACGGCGTAAGGATCCTGGTAATGGATATGTGAATTGCAGTGAAATTGGGGAGTTTAACTTCAGCAGTTGGGCTACATCGCCACGAACAGTCAAGTTGCACAGCGTCGCAGTTAGTCAAGCAAAAAGTTTGATTCGGGTAATCAAAGAAAGTGGAAAAAATATCACTGATAGGATAAAACCGACGACAGAAAAAAATGTCCGGCATACTTAGTTCGACGCGTTATATATTGCAATTGCTTTTATTTAAATATAAATTTTAGATTTAATAAAATTTTTTACTTATCGTATTTTCATTACTAACGTAAATTAAAGCGGATTGTGCAATTTTAATATTTACACATACGCCACCAAATGAAAAAAAAATATATATATATATTGTTTAAAATATTACTACGTTTATACGCACGCATTAATAACAATTTGTAAAATAGTAAACTTTGCCGTATAAACGCTGAATTAATTATTTATTTGCAAATAACTAAATCACGCAAATAAGTATTGATTAGTGGTACTATTTGGTTATCTTATTGCCTTTTTATAATCAGGCAATATTAAAAAAGAATATTTCTCCATCGAATAAATAGTGAGTTAGGTATTTGCAAATAGCTTACGTATAACGTAGTATATGATTTGAGAAATTAAAATTCCATTTTTACAAATTTTATTGGCACACTCGAGATTCATTCTAAAATTGTTATATATTATGCATAAAGAAAGTAATATGTATGTGCATAAGGAATACTGTGTAAAAATCTTCCACGCTATTTCCAAACTAGTTTTAAATAATAACATTTTTAATTTAAGGCGCGCGAGTAAACGTGTTCGCTGACTGACACAACTACGGTATATGAGCACGTTTGGTTTTGGTTTTACTTTTAGAGTATATCTTTTTTAAGTTTTAATCTAAACACGATTTCGTGATGGAGTCTTATTATTTATGCAAAACTGTAGACTGTGCATTGTCTAAGATGAGTGTGCCACCATTTTCGACCAAAAACACATTTTTGTCGAAAAATGTAACAACTCGTGAGATTCGGGCATATGTATGTTTATTTACAAATGAAAGCGACTGTAATCTTTTGCGGATCTTCGATGGAGGGAAAATAAATTTTTGCTGATAAGTTGCTTTAAAGCGGTCCGTATCGTATCCGACCTGTGTAGCGCAATCTTACAATGATTCAATGTTGATGCAATAATACGATGTGTTTTAATTTAAAATTATTGCAAAAATCTAAGAAAAAATTAATCGTTCGTGAAAATAATCTAAGGTTTTGTATTTGTTTTCATTTAATTTGTTTAATATTATTGAAAGCGATTACGACCTAGTTAGAGGTGCAGACTATTTACTATTCCGGGGATTTCAAACGTCAGAAAGTTGTTTCTAATTGAGTCCGCCATATATATACATGTATATACATATTATATCAATGCGCTCATAAAAACGAGGAAAGTGCAGTTCAGTTAGATACAGAGTAAATCATTATAATTTGGGTAAAGCTGTCAACCTTACTCGCCGCAACTTTCTTTGATTTAAGCAAGCATGAACCCCTTCTATTTGCCAGTTTAACCTTTCAAAAATGCGGGAAATAGTTTTGGGATATTACTAACTTCTTTGCAAATTTTTTTAAATGAGATTATCTCACAATTCCAATTCTCTTGCCATTTTCGTATTAAATATCTTTTTTGTTAAATCGAAGAGACACTCAATTGAAGCAGAGATAAAGGGAAATAAAAAAACTTAGAATGAATATTTCAATAGTAAAATATCAAGACAAGTAGAACGGAAAATTTTATTCCACATAATTCTTGGCTTGAGTTTCCATCTATTTAAAATATGAAAACGAGAGTTTACTATTGATCTACGTATTTAGGTGCCCAAAAGCAAACAAGTAGATTATTCAGAAAAATAAGATTCTTTTCTTATATCGCTAGCTTTGAGTGAAAATTTGCTAAGTCCACTTTTTATGAATAGAATGCAAGATTGCCAAGTCCACGCCACGAAGCACCGAAAATCCGATAAGGCCAAAATAATACATAAACATCGAATCCTTCTGATTCTAATGCGAGTTTTGCTTTGCTTTAAACACGCAAAATGTTGTATTTAAAGTTTCGCGAAATATTCAGAATAAACGGCTATAAGAAGTTTCCTTCACCAATGAATCACTTTTTAATTTGTGGTTTTATTGAAAAAGGTGGAATAATATTTTGTTCTAAATATTTGTACTAAAAAAAAAAACTATTTATACAGCCAAATTAAATTAGTTTCAATTAAAACTTGAAAGGTCTGAATTTCCTAATTTGCCTGCTGTCGACTCTTTAGCAAATTCTATTTTTTTTTTTTTAAACAGCCACCATGAGTAGCTCCGTGGCGCCATATGAAATCACTATTCCTTTCGGTTACAAATATATATGTAATACATATGAACTTTTTCGATGTCAAGCAAGCGAAATCTTTTTATATGATCGTAAACTCTACGACAATCATCTGGTATCTCAACCCCTAGTCTTATGTCATGTAAGACATGACATTAGGCATTGGCCCGTAAAAGTCCTCGCCAGGGACCTAATATAACAGTTACTGATGAATACTGCCATGGAAAAATTCACTATGAAGGAAATGTTCTACAATTAAGTGATACATACCAATCGATTTCTTTTTTCACCGAGACTCAAATTTGAAAATAAATAACTGTTATTTGCAGATTATTTAGATAAAAATCAGAAATAACGGTTATTTGAGGAATAATTAAATTAAAGTAAAAAATATAATTGTTAAAGAGCGATTTTTTAATAAAAGATGTAACTGTTACGGTCTCTGGTCCTCGTTGTGGTACACCAGTAATTGATGAATTGTGTGATTAGTTAAATATTGCTCAATGGCAGCCACTGATATACATACATACCGCGCCTTTTCTGCAACGGTCAGATCTTTCCCTGCCAATTCATCAATTTTGCAATTCATCTTATTACCCAGGTGTCCAGACAACTAAATGAGATAAATTGTACGAAGCTGGTGATTAACTGCAGGTGCATATATATTTAAAATATGAACCAAATCGGACTATAAGTACGATTTTTAGTATTAACTCGACTCCAGCGCCACCTGGCGAGTCATACAAAACTAAACAAAAATAAAAAAAAAGAATGAGCCAAACGGGTTAGCTCTTCTAAAGTTCTAATTGCTCCGATTTTATTTTAAGAAAGACATATGTATACACATTTGCAAATAATTTTGTACATAAATATCTATAGGATGTATATGTAGTTTCCCGATTTACATATTTCTTGCACAGGTAAAGGCACACCACTGAGCAGTTAATAATTCATCTCAAATTCTTATACAAGTTGATCAACTTTTTCGCTCCCAGAGATATGGATTAATTTAATTTTTTTGAAGTGCCCTAGCTGCAGTTGTTGTTGTAATTGGCACCACATGGATTATAGTGCTGCACTGTTGGTCATGCTGCATATAGGCTAGCGTGCAGGCGGTGAACAAAATCAACCAAAATACCAACACACATGTGCAGAAGAGTGTGCGTCTCAGCTTTTGCCACCATGGATCGTCAACGAAAGGTAATAGTTCTTGCAATGAGAGTCCAGCGGAAAAACTGTAAGTAAAAAATTAAAATTTGTTAAATTTTTCACCTAAGCGCTAATCTTAATAACAGAATGTTTGCTTNGCAGTTAATTCCCGAGTTGATCCGGATCCACGCTGCCGTCTGTTTATACCTTTAGGGTTTGATAGCACCAGCAACATTTTCAGCAATAACTTGCAACAGCGCCAGACACTCAAGAGCTAAATCTTACAAGTTTGGATACATTTTTAACAAACTTTATTAATAACTTGATGAATTAACTGCTACAGAGAGTAAATGTGATTTTTTCGTGCAAAAATATACTTGGAGGTTTGCCATTGCATGCCGGGGGTCGACCACTATCAGAAAAAAAATGTTTGGATGTTGCTCGGATCAGGGATCGAACCCTCGGCGATTATTAAAAAGTTTCGCTTTATAATTATTGTTGTAGTGACCTTTTCTTAATTAATTGAATATCTAAACAAGTAAATAAGTTTAAATTCGGGCGAAAACGAATTTTATATACCCGATGCACGTATTAAATATCGTTTTTTTCACCTTTTAGTATCCTGCAAATGGGCCCAGTGGGAAAATGTAATGTATAGTTATCGAAAAAATAATCAGTACAACAACCCTTTTCACATTCGAAAATGCATTTTTTTCTCCAGTAGTAAAGTAGTTTATAAGCAACTTTCAAACTAATTCAATTTCCTGCAGGGTTGCCGCCCATTGTACTGTTCCTTTTAATCTACTTGAGTAACGGATATACAGAAGCAGATTGTTGGGTGTCAAAGTGCTCAGTTGTACGTCTCTCAACACATATATATGTAGCTGCCTATACTTAATCAGTGCAAAGGTGGTATTCCGCCGTCTCGTCCTCTTCAACCTAGGAAGGGCAAATGGGGTTGTCATATAGGGCAAGTTGTCGGCAGTCTAATCTGTTCAATGACCCACCGAGATTGAGGGCAACATGAATTTCGACCACCTAAGTCCTCTTGAAGTCTGCCAGTCATTGCTGAACGAAATGTGGGGGTACTATAACTGGTTGCCTACTGATGAATACTTGGTCTGAGCCCGCTCTGGCTAAATGTTCCGATGACTCATTACTAGGAACTCCCGAGTGTTCTGGCACCCATAGTAAGAGAAGTTCGTGATCGGCGCCATCAAGAAAGTTTCGAGAGTGCATGAGTCTGGGATGAGTGTTGGAATTAAGCCAGCAGCCTCGGGGAATTCAATCTTGTAGAATCTCCCCAGAAAAGGTAATGGTGGCATACTACCCTGGGGCATTGAAAAGACCCTCGTGTCTAAAACTCTGCCATTAGCAATCTCTTCCTAGTCGCATTCAGTATCATACCAACATCCATTTATTTTAAGCCTGCAGGTAGCCGTTAAGGCCTCCCCACATATGAAGTGGTGGATAGCATATAAGATGATGGTAAGTAGATCTCCAAGATTAGCGCCAGGTTTTGTAAAGGAAGGTCGCGTACATCACAATGCGACTGTCCTTTCAAGTTTGGTAACAAGATTTCCTGCGCTATTGATTTAGTGTCTGCCAATTAACCTTATCGTCGAGCTGTAGATCAAGAGGATACTTCTTGCTGACAGAACCCACGCTTTACCAAATGCCGACAACGCTTTGGAGGTCTTATGCTCAAAGTAAGACTTCCATGAAAGTATGGCATCCAGAATTATGTACTTACATATATGTACATATATATACTTAACTTCGGAATACATTTGAATTGCAAGTGTAAGTGCAATTAAACCTTCCTACTTTCTCCTTATAGTGAAGAGCACAACACTAGCTTTGGTTGGGTTAGCGGACAGCCCATGCTCCGTACACCAAGTGTCATTATTATTCAGTGTTCTTTGCGATTTCCTGAAAAAAAAAAACTGACAGAGAAAGGCACCTATTGATGCATGTCAAACCATCTCCATAGGCCTGGGCGTAGGTACGAGAGTCATTAAGAGTGATAAGATGGGACTCAATTACAATAACCAGAGCAAAGGGGAACGAACTCTGCTCCTTAGAAATGCAGACAACGTATACTAACTAGTGTCCATGATTTTTATACAAAAGTAACCAAGTGCTAGCGACGCAGTCAAAATTCTTTTCAAGGTCGCCAACAGAAGCCGTCTTTAAGTGCAAAGGATATGATACCTATCGCCTAAATGCATGCAATCTACAGCCGCATGTGCAAAAATTTCGTTTATGAAATGTATAGCATTATTGCCTATGCTCTTCTCAATTGTCATATAAACAAAATTACTTAAGTTATAATTCGACTTCAATGTATGCTCGGCCTAGTCTGATACATTCTCCAATACAATGATGGAGAGGTGGTACCACGCAAAAAAAAAAATATTTATAAATATAATTAATTGTTTTATCCATATTTGACAGCGCGATCTGGACATCAAAATCAAAAGTTGACTAAAAATTGCGCAGTTGCCGTCATACGCAACATAAATTATTTTAACAATAACACAGGCAAGAGAAATAAATGTAACATGATTTTGATTTTAGTACAATAACTGTGAAATTTAGTATGAACAGCCCCATACACCACACAAACTACCGACGCAACCACAAATCAAACTTATAAATATCTACATACATATAAAATTGTAATGGCCTTATTCATAAGAAATAAAGTACGTTTAAAAAGCTTTATAAAATGACATACATTTCATTAAGCATACATTTTAAGTTTATAAACCTTTATTTTTTATAAATAAGGCCATAAGACTTTAAATAACAAGAACAAAATTATTTGCCTTCAAACTAGTAATATTAGTTTTCAAAAATTCATTTCTGCCAACCAAAAGTATCAAAATGGGGCATTTGTGAAAAAAGTATCAAAGTATCAAATCTTACAATTTAGAAAGAAAGTATCAAAAGTGATACAATTGTATCAAAACGGCAACGCTGGTTCCAGTCAATACTGTTTTGCTCCGAAAAAGTGCAATATACCGAAAGATCTATATAAAAATAAACGAAAACTCACATCATGGACAGATAGAAAATATTATTAATGTCTGAAACAATAGTGGTATTCACCAAATTGAGCAAGTGGCCTGGCACTCTGGCAAAAGAGCAGATGAGCTCAAGCAACGATTGTTGACAACAGTCGTTGCTTGAGCTGATCTGCTCGTTTGACAGACTGCCAGGCCACTTGCTCACTTTGGTGAATACCACTAATGAAATAGTTAAGTAGGCTTGGGGTGCAGCGGACACCATAACTTTGCTAAGGCCAGTCCAGCACTAATCATCAAGCTCCATCATCAAAAAATCTCTTACTATAACAATCACTCTTCGATGAGGATAATAATTTGAAAATTTTATTTTGTAATGTGGTATAAATTTGTATAAGGATCGGTTACGCCAAAATTTTGAAATTTTTTAGCCACTAAGTCGAAAGTTTCCGCATAAAAAACTTAATGGTGGTATGAGCTTTTAACGCACTGCATATATAGAATATGGAATATATTATATCTTACTCTAGTTCCGCAAGTACTGGTGTATAACCTTTATATAAAGGTTTATCCAAAACGTCGATGTAGTGAGAATACCCATTTTGTTGCTTTGGTTGCTGTGTGAAATGTCCGTTGTAGTAACCGTTGGATTTGGAGTTGTCATTGCTCAGGAGTGCAGTATTCTCGGTTGTTAGTAAGGACATATTAATGAAAGTTAATATTCAAATTTATTGATTAGCACTTCAAGTTTTTATCTATCGGCATTTTTTTTGTTTATTTGGAACAATTTATTATCGTTTTAAGATTGTTCGTTTATGTTTTTAGCCTATTTTTGTAGTAAAAGGTCCAATCGGGCTCGTTGGCCTCTTCACAACGACTCAGCTGACACTGTTTGTATCATTTGCAGAATTCCAAGACACTACGACGCAATATAAATTATAGTCTATACATATTTGCATACACATACATGTGCATTAGGGCGAAAGAGATTAATTTTTTCTCAAATCCTTTGGTTATAGTGAAAATATATTTTATCATGAGGTCAACAATAAGCATGTCAAATATTAATCTCGTTTATCTTAATTGCAAGAGCCCAAGATAATAAATCTTTAAACGCAAATGTCAAAGTCAAATAACATCTCTGGCAGCCCTTTTCAACCAAATTGTATTTGTTCTTTTGATTATTGCAATGGTCTTTAGTCAAAAGATGCAAAGAACAGCATTCATATTTCCGTTTTCCATATTAGCCATACTTTGCGAATTTTCGCAAATTTGAGAACAATTTCGGGAATTATAGTACGAAAACCTTTATTTTCCATCACCGTTCCGCTCCAATTACTTAAATGGACTTGTCACCTAAATTTTATTTAGTTGAAATACTACTACTGAAACTACCATTTACTAATAAAATGATTCCTATTTTGGATTTTGGACAACCGTATTTACTTTCATTTACCACATTGAAAACTGACCGAATTGGCGTGACCATGTCCATGGTCCTTTAAATATCATACATATAAACATCCGAAAACCTAAAAATCTTTGAAATAAATCTCGTATAGTTTTTTTTGTTTTCATTTTCACTTGGATACTAAGGTAATGAAGAATTAAAAACTGATGCGGGAAAGTTTTTCTAAATCTCTCGAAAACTTTGCAGTATCATTGAAAAATGATATATGAACGTGAGATACTAAATTGAATAACCATTCACTTGATATGTAGATCGTCTAGTTTATAACAATTAGCGCATTCCTTTGATATTTAATTTTCCAAATTCATAAACTTTGAATCAATTGCGCGGCCAAAAGTTTTTTTTTTAAATTATTATTGGCGTAGACCTAAGACAACATACAAAATCATACAAAATTGACCCAGCCTAATGTACATGTACATATATACCGCCCGTTTGCTAGAAGAAGACTTTAACTAAAAAAAAATAAAGAATACGACAAAGACGGCTTAAAGGTTTCAGTCAGGCTTTTCTACTTCAACAGAATTATATATTGACTAAAAAATATTTGTATAGCAAATGTAATGATAAGATTAAATTTCAAGCATAAAGCTGTAATTAAAACTTAATTTTGATGCTTACTTTGTTCATATAGTATTGTTTTCTAGTTCTGCATACCTGCAAAGCAAAATGGAAAAGAAAGAAATGCTAAGATTCCAAATTCTCCTCTAACGGCACATAACTGAAAGGAGAGTTGATGGCAATTCTGCATTCTTAAAAAAAAATTTTGCTTTTTTAATTACGACGTTCATCCTGCAAACGAGCG